ACAGGGTGGACAACAGATGGATGACGAGCTAATGACCCGGGCATCAAGCTGAGCGAGAATATTCTGCTCACTGGGAGACGTCAGACCCGTGGCCAAATGACAGTGGCAGAAGGGAGGAACCCTTGGGAGAGTCAGCACGGGGATCTTCAGTATCACAAGGAGCAAGATTTGGAGCCGGCCTTGGCAGAACCTGAAGCTGTGATTGTGGAAATTAAAAACCTGATGTATTAAAAACCGAAGCTCTGATCCAAAGACTACGGAAACCAACGACGGTAACACCACTGCTGTGAGATGCTTCAAGGAGAGCGTATGGAGAAACCCAACGACTCACCACCACGGGCTCCGAGCAGGGGAAGCTCTGGGCTAACACCACCGGTCTCCAGCCTGAAGGTCTCAGCACCAGCGACAACCCAGAAACCAGAGAGCGTCCGTCACAGCCCTTGTCCTGAACTGGTTTAATTTGCAGACTTTTTTTTTTTTTTAATTGCAGCTGCAGGAATCACTTCTGACCTCCAACTGAAGTTACAGACTAAGGCCATAGTACTGAAGAGGTGAATCAGATGCAAAAGGGATCAGCAATGCAGTAGCAAATCGAGTGTGGATCCGAAACTAAGAAACCTACTTATAAAATATGTATAAAACAGTTATTAACAATAAAATTGGTTTTGATCACATAGATTTTTTTAACCTTTTAAAAGCATGGCAAAATTAGCAGACAGTGAGAGTGTGTGTGTGTCTGCTGGAAAGGGGTTCTGTATAATTACAAGCCCTCCGATCAGGATAGCTCTTTGGGGAGAAAAAAAATAAACAACATTTAAAATATGCTTGGTCTTTCTCAAGTCTTTTTACTACTCTCTGCCTTTGTTTGCCTTGTTTAGGAAAACCAGCTGGTATTAATTGCGCTTCGTACACCATCATCATGAACAGCGGCCAGATATCAGAAAATAAGGCCTAATCATAGGAATTCACTCAATTGTTTAAAAAAAAAACACAAACCCAACAACAATTACCGCTCAGTGTTTAGAAAAGCAGTTAAAATGCGAGCAATCGAAAAAAAAAAAAGGCAGGAAGGAGGCTGGTGTATGAAGAATGCGATAAAAATAAACTACGATCACAGAAGGAGAAACAGAAATGTAGGTTACTGAGCGGTGATCAGACTCCTCTAAACGCATTGTCCGCCGCACGCGACGCTGGGAGATGCTGCACGCTCGTGCGGAGCGGGTAGCCCAGGTCTCGGCACGTGCCCGGCGGCAGAGACGGTGCAGAAGTGTCACGTAAGAAGTCAGAGATGGAAGAGATCTGTTCTATCAGTCTTTTCACCTCTTTCCCCACGCTCAGTCTTAAAATTATCCATTCCGATGTCTTTTCTAGCCTTACTTCAAGTTGAGTGCTCCACCTGCGTACCGCACGGGAGAAGGGATAAAATTCTGGACCTGGCACAGGTTTCCTTGCCTGAAGCTACGCTGCGAATTGTGGTGAGCTGGGAGCAGGGCTGGGGGGTGGGGGGGAAGAAATACTGGTGAAAAAAATACTGAAATACTGAAAAATATTGTAAAAAAGAATACTGATTCCTCCAAAACCTCATCCTGAAGGGCTGCAAATCGGGAGTGCCAGATGTAGCGCTGGATCTGAGAGAGAAGCGTTGCCTCTCTCTGACAGCAATTCCTCTCTCTCTGTCACGGGAACGGAATTGGGTTATTTGCAAAGATTTGCTAAGACTTCTAGTTTAATTGCAAGAAGCATAAAGCCAAAATCTGCCTTTCCGTACGCGTGAGAAAGCAATTTGTTTGTCCCTCTCATTAGATAAAAGACACGGAGGGTGAAGACGATGGGAAGCACCATCACGAGTCAACTGATCTGGCGTTCCGTGAGCCTCCTCCCCGCGTCGCTTGCCAACTGCAAACATGGAAGGGGCTCGCTTTAATTAATACTGGGTCTCAGCAGACCACTGGAGGTAGTGGCACTTGTTTTCAGGTCATCTGGTCCTAATAGGCTCACACTGGGAGGTGATTTGTTGCTAACTGACAGCAGAGAGCAGTTAATGAGGGCTGAGGCCTTACAATCCAACGTAACGAACCTCAGGGCTATTTCTATGTTATCTGTCATCATCGTTTAAACAAAAAACCAAACTCCTTGAGATGCTGGTTATTAATCCAGATATTTACAATATAAAAATCACTCCTGGCTCTGTAGGATTTTCTCCAGGCTGCTCTGCATCGGGAACTGAGCACGCAGTAAGTGCTACGGATTATCAGGACACGAGCTATTCTGCGGTAACGCACACGTCGATAGTGTCCCCAACGGCTCGTCTACGTGGGGACATCGGTGCACAGCGACTTCATCTCATTTTGGCACGCCCTATGTGCCATAGCGTGCTCCGCTTTGGAAGCAGACCTCCTTCCAACATCAAGAAGGAGAAAGTATCCATGAAGGCTGCTGCCCTTCCCCTCTCCCCCAACTACATCGATGGATCTAAGGAAAGCTCCTGCCTCCCCGTAACGATGTTCTGACCCTCAGCGCACCACAGCTACAAAACCGCTGCTGTACAGGTACTCTTTGCATCCCGGCGGAAGCCCAGGCTGGTGGGGCCATGGTGGCACTGACACCTGCCGAAGGAAGATTTCCTCTTGCACAAGCTCGAAAAGTACAGAATACCGGGGCATCACCTTCCATCACCGTGCTTTTAAAACTGTCCCCGTGATGGACAGCCGAGGTGTGCAAGACAACCAGGCACTGGGGCTGCTGCTGGAGATGCTGGACAGGTAAATCCCAGCATCGTTTCAGTTTCTGCACTTACTCAGAGCTTGTTGCTCTGTACAGACCACCAGCTCCTTCATCACCAGGGAGTAAACGGTACAACTAACGGAGGTACAAACCACCATGGGACGAACTGCTGATCTACCATCAGCAGACTGCTGAGCCGCCCACGTGTCACCAGCGGTCAACAGCAGGCCACTGCTGCTTTGCTGTAATTACTTTTATCTACAAGTCTTGGTGTGGCTTTTCATGCTGTTTCGGAGAACGAGTGTTTCTCACAGCACCACTGATGGTCAGTTCTGCACTCTGAACCTGCCTTTCTGCTTCAGCTCCTTTGCAGTCAGCCTAGGAGGAACCAGAGGTTTTAAAGACCTGGATCAGCTGTCCCATGATGGACATCTCTGCTCACCGCCCAAGTGGTTTCCTTACCAAAGCCTGTTGGCTTCTCGGGGTGACAAAACTCTGCCAACATCACATCTCCGCGTCTCCTGCCCTCTATCTGCCCCTGTTGCCAAAACGGAGAGGAGCATTAACGCCAACAATGTGGAACCATCTCTCTGCTGCAGCTGAGCTGGAGGTTCAAGGCAGGCTGTGAGCGGCAGCTGCACATCAAGCTGGAGAGCTTTGCCATACTAGTTCATAAGGTGGAAAAAATTCTGAACTAAGGACCAGGGAGGACAGTCGAGCTCGCCTGTGCTACACCGGGAGACAGCTGACCGAGGACCGCTGCTAACCGAAGCGCTGAGGTTGGTGGGATGGGGACTCAGATTGTACTTCAGCTGCAAAAGGGTGGGGCTGGTGTGGACGCATCTTCATGGGGTTATGAAGCACGGGGGCTCCCAGCGACGCAAGGCTGCTCTGTGCTGTGTGCGCAGTCTGGGTTCACCCTGCAGTGAAGGGACGGTACGGGTGACACAGAGGAGCAGGACGGCAACCAGTGAGCAAGCCAAGCCGGCAATATGGAAAACTATCAAACAGAAGCATATCCAACAAAACGGACACTTCCCACTCCAACCTGCAAGGCACTTCACCAACTCTACGCCCTTTGCTACCACTAGCAAAAAAAAAAAAAAAAAAAAAAGGTCCCCTTTGCTACCCCTAGCAAAAAAAAAAAAAAAAAAAAAGGTGCAAAGCTGTCTGGCAGCTGCAGGAGAACACAGAGATACGCTTTGGGCAGACCTTCTGCTGTCCACAATTCCCAGCCAGGAGCTCCTGCCTCCACAGCTCTCCAAACGCTCCGCAGCCTGCTCCTGACGAACATTTTACCTTGTAAAGAAATCTAAAAAAGCCCATGCAGCTTTTCCCCGAAGGTGAATTGGGGAACCTGGGTACAGATGGCACGGTGAGCAGGCAACCTTCTCCCATGGCACAGCCTGTGTGCAGAAAAAACGCCTGGGAAAGGATGTCTGCGGCTTGAGAAAAAGGGAAAAAGTCTTGGCCAGAGGAAAAAAAAAAAAACCACAAACTGCTGTGGGATCTTTAACGTTCCAGCAGAAAAGGCACAACCATACATTTCAGAGGCTTATTTGAACACCCAACGTAAGAAATAACTTCCCTAAGTTGCTCCTGAAAAAGGTACCTGCCTCCTTGGGAATGAGCCGAGCCGACTAAAGATGTCAACCTGTGCTTCTGGGGAATCTGAGAACTAAAAGCCTGATGACTGCACCACGAGATCACGACTTGAGCAACGTTAAAAACTCCTCTCTCATAGATTACTTCGGATACGACTTGAACACCGTTTCCAGCTTGAACGCCGTCCATGGGTGAAAGACGTCGTTTCAAGCACTGCGGTTCTTCCAATGCAAGGTGCTGACCCACCAGGAGAACATCTCCAAAACACCGCCACGCCTCTGTTCAGCGTGTCAGCTGTCACACTATCACCCTGCAGCCTCAAAGTCACTCCTTTAACTCGGACGAGGCTAATTCACCACCAATTAATGCCCGTGTGGATGAATTGAATTCACCCAGCAGCAAAGCCACAGCGCAGAGCCCCAGGTAGCGCACGGTGCAGGACGTGCTGGAAGCCATCAGCGGCAGAAAGTCTCCTTCTGCTGAAAAGTTTGGGCATGCATGGACAGAGACACCTCACGGTTAAAATATTTTCTGGTTATGTAGACTGAATTCTGTCAATTAAAAGACAAACATGCTTGGCAATTGAAACAAACATCTCAAAAGCACTGCGGTGCTACTGTAAGGGAGCAGTTACTTTGGAGCGAAATATATAGATATAAAGCGTTACCCACTGCTATTGAGACAGCACTTATGACAGCTCCCAAGTAGCCCTGGATGAACTTGGATGTCGGAGAAGGCTTTGGAAAGAAAAACAAAACATATTTTCAATAAACAAACTTCTGGTTATTAAAAGGCTACCAAGCTTTTTTTTTTTGTTTGGTTTGTTTTCGTTTTATTTGTTTTAAACCAGAGACAGGTTTAATTTTGTCATATTGTTCTGTGACACATGGTCTGTCGTCTAGCAGCGGCAAAAGCAAGGAAAATTGTAGCCTCATGAACAAGGTTAAAGGGAATGGAAAATTAATTGGCATCAGAAAATTATAATAATAGCAGCTAAAAGGAAGTATTTGAATGAAATTCAGCAAATGGTACAAAATTAGCATTCTTATACAGTAGTGATGAACCCCAAACTCTCCACATTAAATATCTGTCTTTGAAATGTTATGGTTTGAGCTGGATGGTTTCCAACTCGGCTTCCCGTCTCGAGCTTCCCACCTCCCGACGCGGGATGAAGGAAGGCTAAAGCGAAGGAAGAGCCGGAACAGCCCTACCGCGTCCCCGCACCAGTGCTGGTAGCGCCTATAAAGTCCTCAGGAGACGGCAGGGTGATCACGGAGCCGCCTTCGGCTCTCCAAAAAAACCCAGATTTACTTTGTGCTCATTCACGTGTCAAATTAAACCAGTTCACACCAGTTAGAACTCTATACTGGTTCAGCTCAAAGGCACTGAGCGTTACTTTATGCACCTCGAGTGATTTCGAGATCCTCATGCTGTTTACAGCCGAGGTTTAAAATGGAGAACGGCCAATCTAGAAACTCATCACAGTGCCGACGCCGGAGTTTCTGTTAACAGCGGAGAGACAAGAATTATGTTTCCGTGTCAAAACAGACCTAAGGCGGTGCACGCGCCACGCGCGTTGGGTCTCCTCACCTTTGTCGCGTTGCGGTTTGCATAGTTGACGCAGGCGTTGTGGCTCTGATTCAACCACTGAAGAGGAAACAAGAGACGGGCATGAACATAACTTCACAAAAATAAAAAAAATAAATCTATAACTCTAGGAGTGCTGCGGGAAAACTCATCTCCCTTTGTCCTGCTCACAACTCGCCATCTCTTTTCATCTCATGAGTGCCCTCCATCTGACTTAATGCCCTTCAAAGTGAGGGACAGAAATCCCAAGGCACCCAGAGGACAGTTCTGCTTCCCTGTACGCTGGACGTGCAACTCTTCTCCTGGCCCAATCCACCTCCATGCGACACCGCGGTGCTACTGGTCTTTGTTTGCGTCGGCGGCAAACCCATACTGCTGTTAAGACGTAGCAGTAAGCCCAGCAGCCATTTTGTGAGTCGCAGACACAGCAGTAAGCCCAGCAGCCATTTTGTGAGTCGCTTATTAAGCTCCGTGGTTCTCAAACGGAGGGTCACAGGAGGCTTCCGCTGAGGAACAGGAGATGAGCAGACATTCCATCTTACAGATACGGATGCCACTAAACTGGTATTTCTGTCCATAACTTTTTGGAGCACGGTTTGTCACCAAAGCAGCGTGGCACCACGCTCCTGAAGGGGTTTTACCCACAGCAACTGCTGGCAATGTAAAGAAAATTAGAGATTTCATCCCCAAAACACCATGTTCCCAGTTAAGAGCATGTCAGAACCGCGCTCCTCTCCAGCTGTGGCCAGAACTAAGACAGAGGAGGAGGCATGAAGTGAGGGTGAAGAGAGAGTGAAACGAGGCGGTAAAACATGGGGATCAGCCCAGTCACTGCCAAGTTCATGGTCCAAGAGCACATCTTCCCTGCTGAGCAGCTCTCTAACCTGCAACTGTGGACCTAGCAAACCTTGCTTTTTTTTGTTTTCTTTAAATAATAATTTTTTTATAATAATATTTTTTTTCCTACAAAAATAATTACAAAGCCAGCTTGCCAATATGTGCTGGAAATCTGCCTCAATTGTGCAGATGTGGGTTTTGGGGTTTTTTTGCAGCGCACTGAACGCAGAGGTCCTTGCCTTTGCAATGCACAGCTATTCCTGAATTCCTGGGCACGGGACCTCCCCCTGCCCCCAGCCCTGCGCACACGTTGCACTTCCAACGGGATTTCACCACGGAACATCCCAACTACTTGACAGGGCCTCTCCAAAACAGCAGATGTGTAAGCTTAAGGGCCTACATCTTCATGGAATTACACAGCGTGCGATCATCTACACCTGTACAAAATGGGTCCAAAAAAGCTGATTTTGAGATTCTGGGCTATTTTGCATCTCCCTTGTGATGACAAACCCAATAGTTTGCTTATAGCCCCTTCCAGACCTACCAAACCTTTCCCTAATTACATCCAGCCACATCACCTCCCCATTAATTAAAGCATTGCCAGCAGAAAAGCCACGTGCATCGGTTTGTCCTCAAAACACAAGTCAACCTCTGTTTTCCTTTCCATCACGTTCTCCACCCAGTAACCAGTGTTACCTGCCAAAACACCGTGGATGCCAGCGTCTGGTTGGGCAAGAGAAGACCAACAACCTGCAAGAGAAGAGATTTTCTCATTAGTAAATGCATCGTTGGTTTGCTCTCGGTGCTCTTCTAGGCATGCAAACAGCAAGCTTATCTCTAATGACTTCAATAAATTATCTTAATTTATGGCTTAATTTCTTTATAGCTCTTGAGCTTCCTGACAGCCTACTGTCTCTCAGTTTTCCAGTGGTGAAACCGGGTAATGTAGCCACCCGTGAAAGCTTTGCATCTTTAATTATCGCTCGCAACACACCTTGAAAAGAGTCTGGCTTCATATACCGTCCAAAGATGAGTTCATTAAAATGTAATCAATTGTTCAATCCCAGGTATTTCTGAAGTATAACGCAAACATCGCACGAATGCGAGAGTTCAAAGTTGTTACTACTGGCAGTGAAGGGGGGCTTTCTTATGTTCCTTTGGCACGTTCGCTGTTTCAAGCACAAGAAAGAAATCCGATGTGAACATCTGAAGACAGGAGTGCCACCTGGAAGCACATGTGCTCCTGTTTGGGAGCCTGAATTTTGTTTTAAGAGAAGAGAATTGTTGATGTGTCATACTCCCAGCTGCGAAAACTCCTGCTTGGGTTACGAGCTCAGGCTGACGATCGCCGTCTCCCAGAGGCTTAGGTCCCAGCACGGGATGATGCCCCAGGCTTCGCAAGGTCACCCACCGCAGCACGTGTCTGGTGCCTACACCTTGGGACACGGCTGAACACACCACAGAGGCACAGCCTCTGCAATTCGTTACGCTCTCCATATCTTACACAGACCGCAGCGCTGCCAGCCGCCTTCCTGCCTCGTTTTATGGCAATCCTTCCTCTTACAGCATACCAGGAGGAAAGAGATGCAAAGCAAGGGGACTCTCAATGACAAACGCAACAAACGTGGACAGGAAGATGAGTTCTTGGGTAAGAAACAGGTAAGATGATGTACTTCCTAGCATCATCATCATTTTCTCCCCTCCTGCACCTCGAACGTCTGATAGTTCCTGAAGACGACGGTCTTCTCGTTGCAAAATTACACTCGCATCTTTGTTAAGAGTATAAGGACTGAACGACTCCTTTTACTTCTAAATACATTTATTTTCAAGACATTCCTGTGAACTGAAACGTTCTCGGGGGCATCCGGGCCAGAAGGCTGTGAGTTTATTAACCGACTCGGACTATCTTCTGCACCGTTTTCTTGAAGTTTATTCCTACAGCAGCTGAGAAGAAAGGAAACTGCCCTGCCAGAGCACAGGGAGCCTGCCGCAAGGAGGGATAAGCTACAGCCATCCCTGCACATCTGCAGCAGCATCAGATGAAGAGGAGGCAACTTCTACGCTTAAGGACATAAGAGAGAGATAACAACAAACAAAAGGGTAATAGGGTTGGGAGGCCTGATTTCATCGACATCATCTCTCCTTTCTCCTCCTCCTCCTCCAGCTTTTCCTCCTACAGCCGTTCGTGAAGTTACAGCTACTTTGTGCGCTGGCCGAGCGCCAATCTGTGCAAGTTACACTAATTTACCGCTTCCATTCAATATGCGGAGCTTGTCATTAATTACTCCGTTGCCGGTCTTAACCAAACGAATTCAACAGGCGATGAACTTCCTCAGCCCAGGACTGACTTACGCCCCTGAAGCCAGCAGGCTAACGAGGCTCCGGAGGAGAGGGAAGGCTGCAGGCAGCTACTTACATTGTCAGCTGAAGCTGAGCGCCGAGAAAAATAAAAGAGGAAAATAAATAAATAAAAAAGAGCACCCAAAATCTGTATGACTGAAAGAGGCACGTTTAAATGCAAACTCTCCATATGTGCAAGAGTCTGTCAAGAAATGTACAGTTTCACTTTTAATTACTGTCAGGGGAAAAAATAACTAAGAAGGAAAACAAAATAAAAAAAGCTTCTAAACACTAGAAAAGTACCAGCTACAAAATTTAATTGCCTATCAGGTGTGAAGGGCCCTTGGTGGCCCCAAAGCCGGGGCTAAAGCCGCTGCTTGGATGTCCGCCGGCTCCGAGCAGCCTCGTGGCGCGCTTGCGTTACGAGCTCTCCTCTTGCAAGCCCCAAGTCCTGCCTCGGGTGCCAGCGAGCGTCATCTGCGACCCCGTACTAACACCCGGGTCTTCTCTATGCGCTTCGATACCCCAACAAGACTCCCCAGTTTTTAAAGGTCTGGGGAAAATAAGGTGCTCAAAGCTGCGGGTAGCAGCTGGGAACAGCAGCACGGCTTCTGCGCCATCCTCGCCGCCCATGGTTTGGGCTGAGTTTCCTAAATGCAGATAAATCTTCCTCCTGGGAGTCTTTTCGTCCCTGGGATGAAGCACAAACCCAGGGTAAGAGGCGACAGCCCAGCAGCCGCCCTGTGCATCTCACCCTTGCAGCAAAGAGGTATCGTGCAAGCGGCTGGATTTGCTCCCTCCCGGGCTGAAATCCAGGTGGGCACACACCAACGCTGCTCGCACTGCTGTATCCTCCATCCCGGCCCCGCTCTGCCGCTGATGTTAAACCATAAACCTGAGCCGGGAAAGGACGGAGGCTAAAAAGAAAAGCAAACGATTGCAACTCGGGGAAAGAATAAACAGCCGCAGGATTTGGTTGTGTCAGGGGAGTTAACCGCTTCGGCCAGAAAAGAAACGATTATTTTCAGCAAGACCTTAATCTCTTTCAGAATGAGCTAAACCGTACTGAATTATTTTGCATTAGCTATAGGGAAAAAAAAAAAAAAACAAAACCCACCATGTATACAGGCAGCATCGTGTATGGACTGGTAGGCAGTAAACCTGTTAATACCTAATCTGATCACATCTCTGCCGGTATCCACGCAGGGCGTTTAACGGACCCCCCAACACCAGGACAAGTGGCGCGGGTGCAACGGCACGCCGGCACGGCTCTGCGGGCGAGGACGGGCACGCTGGCTCAGCCAGAGCCCACCGCAGGCACAGTAAAGTCTCTCTTGAGGAAATCCCATCCCCCTATGTGAAATGCAAGACTCAAACTGTTTTTATGCTAGAGCAGGCTGCCAATTTTGTCACTAAATTTCACAGATCGATTGGCATAAATGTTACATTTTAATTTTAACATTTGAAACGTTTGGGTTTTTTTTTTTTTTTTTTTAAATGACAAGAGGTTCCAGTTTATCCTTTACAGCTAGTGAAATTGGGCTCATCTGACAGCTCTCGGCTCCTCTGACAGCTCTGGATTTGGGCCGATTTCATTGTCAAATTGATCGTTAACTCATTTTTGTTTAACCTTTTCTTTTAAAATGCCCCATACAAAGTTACCACCAAACCCTTACACACGACAACAAATAGTAACGGCCGCGATGATTTCTGCTTTTAGGTGCTAGCAACCCTGCTATCGCCGTTTGGGAAAGGATCGCTACCTTTAGGCAAATACTATGCCACGGTCTACTGGGTTTAGGAAGATTAAATTTAGCAGATTTTACTCCTTCAACCATTTTAATACGCGGGATCTAGTAGGCTGAGCCAAGAGCTGGGGGCTAGGAGGAGCAACAAGCCTTGGGAATTTTGGGGCAAAACTCTGTGCCTCGGTCTCCCCATTCACCAAATGGGGTTAATTAATCGTTCCTGATCCTGAAGACGAGCTGAAGTTTCAGCGTTTAGGAAGACAGGCAGAATTCTCTCCCGTCTGGTTTTCGCTATCGAGAGCACCCAAACGCTTACAAATTGCACAATAACAAGTACAAACTAAAACGCCCTTAGCAATAACCCCATGGAAAGCGCTCGCCGCTTTAATTAATCAAGACAAGAGCGCACGACACCAGCCTCACCGTGCTGTAGCTCGTCACGTTCAGGAAACGATTTGTAAAACATGTAAATGGTGGGGGGCGGGGGGAAGCGTCCAAAGATGAAACCCGAGAGTTGCAGAAGTTGCATTTTGCAGGCAATGAGCTCATCTTGGTCTTCCCTTTCCAGAAGGGAAAGATAAAGCCGAAGACGTTGCAAGGAGCTGGGTGAACGACGTTAAATAGATAAAGAACCTCGAGCACAACGTCCGTAGGGCAGGTTTGATGTGATGAAGCCCCTGGTAATGTGCAATGGGAAAGGTGGGAACCCGGTGGGAACGTGTCGCGAGGCGGTGAGGTGGAGTTTGGAGAATTGTCTGCGAGTGCTAAAAAATGCATTTCTTGGTACTCGCAAACAAAGCGGGGAGAGATGTTAAAATACTTACGATGGGTGTTCCAAAGGGAATGTAACCTATTAAAAAAGAAAGAAGAAAAAAAGAGATGTATGCATTTTAATACGCAGTTTGGGGATGGGAAAAAAAAAAAAAATCACGTCTAAGACATCTCAGTTTAGGGTAGAAGCCACATGTGGCAGGACGGGCTACGCGCACGTCCACCAGCTCCATACCACCACGGGGACGTCTGTGGACCTACCCCTGCTGCACCAAGCATCAACTAGAGCAGCCTCCTGATTTTTGCCCAATCTCCTTCCCATCCTCTCTTTGCTTTTCTTGGGTTGCGGTCTAAGAGTTTCCCTGAACCTTATAACACCTGGACCCTAACGCTTACTCCAGTAAACCCAGCCCGTGGCAGTACGTGGTACGAAGCACTGCCGAGCGCATCGTGGTGGTGAGCCGGGCTAGGCAGCCAGCAAAAACTCAAATCAGCTGAAGCGAAGGGATGACAGCTCAGCCCAGGAGCTGCTTGGTCCGGACCAGGAAGAGCAGGATGCCGTGGCGGTGGTGCTAACTGAGCTGACCCAGTGGCTCACTGCCACGGAGAGGGGGAGATCTTGCCCCCCCCCACCACCCCAGGCTCAGTCACGCAATCTGTTCCTTCCCTCGTGCCAGCTCTGTTGCTCATCAGACCCTCCTACAACCTACCCTCGTTAACCCAGGAGAAAACTCTCCAGCTTTCTGCGCCCCTTCTCCTCTCGCTGAGCCTGGTCCCACCAGGTTAGCACGCTGAAGATGCTCAGGAAGCCATCTCACAAGCTGCAGAGCCCATGCCAGTTAAGGAACAGGACCATGCCACCATAGGTGGGACCTCCCTCTTTCACCATCTGCTTTATCAACCTCTCCACTAACGATTTTATACCAGGAGAGGTCATTTATTTCTAGGTCAGGAGAAAAAGGAACAGGGTATAAGCTGAAGAAAGTATATTTGCACCATAGAGGAGAGAGGGACTGTTTTAATCGTACGTGTAAGTTAAAGCTCTCTGTATTAGAGATAAGCCATTACCCCAAATCTTGTTGAGCGCCACAAAAATCAAATGCTTCACATTTTTCCCTTGCTAAGTCTGCCAATTTCTGTGCTAATTATAATTCATCTCTATGACTTCCACTAGAAGGTCTCAGAGCATTTTACCAACATTACTGAATTAAGCCTCATGGATCCAATTTACAGTTGGAAAGGGCAGAGACCTGAGAGGAAGAAAAATTAAAGAGAAATACAGAACAAGGCAGCAAAGCAGTGGGTCCTGGCTTTTCTCCCTTCCACTTCACCCTCAAAATCACCCTTCTTCAAAGAACTGGAGAGCAAAACCCACCAACCCTGTTCTTTTTCCCCAGTACCCAGTATTCAGGTGAAGATGTTCCTCCCAAACACATGGAAAAGGTTCTGTTTATTTAAATAGATCCTTTGGGAAGGGACCAAGGCTGCACTTGCATCCTCAAGAGAGCTGTATTCAACCCACAGCAGGAGTAGCAGTGGACCCAAAATGGGAAAGAGGAGGCAACAAATTAATAATTAAGTTGGTTCAGCCACGGACAAGCTGATCCTTCCTGGGCTCCCAGCGCCGGGGATGTTAGGTACCACCGCACACGGAAAACCAGGGCTCATCCCATTCTCTCCCGGAGACTAAAACCCTAAGCTGCTCGTTGGGCATCAGGCTTTGTTGTCTCCTACAAAGTTAAAATGCCTATTATAGGGACGGGTACCTCAAAAATGCCAGAAAGAATATTAGCTTAACTCCACGTTAAGATATCTGAAGGAGGGGAACATATTAAGCACTAGATCTCGCATCGGCATCTAGGATCCTAATTCTCCTTCGGTGCAAAGGGATTTAGACATTTTAATTACCTTCTGATCTTGGTTGAAATGTTTACAAGATGCCCTTCAAAAACAGGAGGAGGAAAAAAAACCTGAAAAAACATTTTGTACAAATTCCCAGTAAAATTAATCATCACCTGATTGGGACATACTATACCTGACATTCGGAAAGGCATGAAGATGGTCTCGTTTGTATCGGGGTGGATGATGGCCTGTAAAACAGTCAGCAAACAGACACGGTGAAGGCGCAGCGACGCCAGCCCTGTCCTCTCCAAACAGCATCTTCGGCCAGGGGGTACGGGGGGGCTTTGGCCCCCCCCTTGCCTCTGCAGCTCCAGCCAAGGGCAGTTATTGTTCGTCAGCCCCCACAAAACCTCCTCCTACCGCTGCTTTCCCCCCTCCTTCAATAATTTAGTGTAAGTTAATCGCTCAGAAGTAAATAATTCAACCTGAAATATAGAAAAAGTGGCTCATTCTTGGTACTATAATGTCCCCACAGGCCACCCACCGCTGTACCTTAACCCCAGGGGGAAAATACAACTTTATAGAGGAAAAAAACCCTGGAAACCTATTTTCTGTCCCTGCCTGTTTTCAGCATCTCCACCGAGGTGCACCTGAATGTCCTGGCTGAAACCTGCCCTGTGAAAGAAAGGAAAAGCCCTTGCTGGGGTGGAGGGGGGGGCAGCACCACCTGCTCGGGGGGCGACGAGGGTCTCCATCGCTTCATGCTGATCGCTGGAGACCCTCGTAAGGACTTGTGTGGCCACCACGGATGGGTTCGGACAGAGGAACATCTTCCCCGTCTGCCGGTATGTCTGCACGAGCCCGCACAACTCGTCATAGGAAACCTGAAGCGCTGCCTCAGGACCTGGCTGAGTTGGGATAAAAACATGCAGGTGTGGTCCACTCCGGTTGTCATCATAAGGGTGACCCAAACAACCCACCCCCCTCCCCCCCCCGCATGCCACGGGATTCGGATTTGCCAGATAATTCAACTTTTGCGTGTATCCGCAGCGTCTCAGCCGACACTGGTGGCTGTGGACAGCCCAACCTCCACAGAAATCCTAAATCTGTTTTACCAATGAACGGACAAGGAAGCTCACTTGGCCTGTTTTTACCAAATTTTACAGCGAGCCCAGGAGGTTGCACTGGCATGAACTGGCTGGGGATGAAAAACCAATCCCCAAGTGACGTGGGACTGCAGAGCAGGAAGGTACGACACAGTTACAAGCCTTACCAAAGAACTGTCAAACTATTTGCAAAAGACTGGAGACAAGAAATCTCTTGACTAGACAGGAAGGAGAAAATGAAGACATCAAAATATATAAATACACCCAAAAAAAAAAAAAAATTCAGACTCTTTGGTGGCAACAGTGTTCTTTGCATTTACATTTCTGTGGCAAGACAAAACAGCAACTGGCAAAGTCAATAATGGAGAAGAGGACAGCGTTGCTTAGAAAAAGGAAAAAAAGCAGCAATAGTTGAAAACAATAATGAAATATTAAAAAAAACATATTACCTGCTTTATTTTTTGAGCTCCCCACAGCTAGAAAAATAAAAGAGAACATTGCATTTAAAAAAACGAGCAGTATAGTTTTATACCAAACCCCAAATATTCATCTTTTAGCTGCTGTAATAAATGAACGGGAGGGACTGCTTTTAAACAGACTCATTTTCTGCATCTTTCCGGGATGTATTTAAAGATCCTTTTCACGCACCGAGCTCCTTCAAATCTGCGTGGCCAGGAAGACCAGCAAGGCAGAGAAGATATTCTTTCTTATGTTGAACGGTAAGAAAGAATAACAACGGCCAGGCTTCACGCTCTGCTACAAGCTTTACAAATCGAGAATTATCTCAGTAACTCTGTGGCACGTAGATCTCAAGGTAAATTTAGCACAGCCTCTCCTCGGACGAGCTTCCTGCGGAAATGGAGGCTTGCTGGGGAACAAAGGTGGAGCAAGCCCTGCAGGGAAGTACAAGAAGTATTGCTTCAAATAAAACCTGGATTCCGACTAAGCCGGCCACTGGTTTTCATTTTTCACAAGAAGGGAAACATGTGCACCGAAAAATGCTCGTGAAGAAGAAAAAAAAAAAAAAAAAATCTCATTTAAAACTCTCACGAGCGCTTACTGTTATTTACTGACTGTAATTCAGCAGCATCCAAACATCTCAAATCAGGCTCAGCCAGCGAGATCTACGAGCATCGAGGAAGAAACGTCCGACGTGAGGTGCGGGTAGAGCCCCTGAGTAGGTGCACAACATCAAGAGATGCTCTGGCATATACACAAACCCATCGTTTGCCCCCTGCTTAATAAAGCCAGAGGGCTTTCCTCCACAAATTATGCCTAAATTCAAATTATAATCTCAAAAAAAAAACCCCAAACCTGATTTTGATGCATGTAATTCTAGAGATGGATGAAAAAAACAGGACTTCTGTAAAATATCACAACCGATCATTGCTTTTACTATTAAAAACTGTTCTGTTCAGCTCAAGTCTGGCTTCAACTTCCAGGCACCAGCTTGTGTTACACCTCTGTCTGACAGCCTCCAGTGCTGTCTATTTTTGTTCTTCACACAGGTACTCGGAGCTGCTAAAGCCACCCTTTAACCTTCTCTTAAAGAGAAAAAAAAAAAAAAATACAAAATTCATCCGAGCCAGGAGACTGGCTGTTTCGTTGGCAAGGCGCGTTTGCCAATCTTTTAACCACCCTTGTGGCTCTTTTACATCTTTCCAATTTGTCAACATCCTCTTGAATCGAGGACGCCAGAAACCAGACAAATTATTCCAACAACAGTTGTACCAGTGCCAAACCAAGGGCAGGCTAACCTGAGGAGTTCTGCTCTTGCTGTTGATAAAGCCGAGGACGGCGATAGCTCTTTTCGCTTGCAGAGCTCACGATTACCCACCACAACACCTACCCAAGCGCCGTGCGCGTGTTCTGCAATCCGCGTGTTCACGCTTTAGATTTTATCATTATTATGGCATAAATTGAGCCCCGTTCTGCCGTTCTTCTTCACCCGAGGTTTAACGCCTTCCCCACATATAAATCCCTGAAAATACTGTTGGAATAAGGTAATTATTATAAATAGCATTGATTGATCCACTGATACCAGCAACCCCAGTATTTCGCTCCAAATCCAGCTCTCACTCCAGAATAGAAGCTCTGTGATGAACTCCACCGCGTGCGATGACTTACTGGAACGTCTAAATGTCACCGGCTGATGCACAGATCCACAGGGCTCGTCCTCCCTGAGGAAAACTTCCCTTTTTAAGGAAAATCATTATTCCCCATTTTACGGTTGAAAAACAGAGGTTGAGGGACGCGAAGAGACGATCTTTATGGTTGGCACGGATGGGATGTGTCTACCCTCACCAATCCTAAAATCCAAAGGGTGGGAGGCTGCGTGCCCAGGCAGCTGCCAGGGCTTTTCTCCACCTGCCTGCCCACCAGCTCGAGAACTTCCATGGGGTGAAAGTGGAGGATCTTGAGCTGCAGATGACTACCTAAAGCGTCCCGGTAACCCTGTGGCTGCCTAGGTCTCGCCTATCTTTGATGTGAAATGAAGTCACGGGATTTTCGTCTCCAACTGCAAGCACCAAGACTAGCAAAAAGGAAGAGGTACGGTTTCTGAGCCAGCGCTATGGGTTTTTTGGTCAAATTATCTAATTTCATTAATTGATCCCAATATTTATGCATTTTCCTGCTGCAGTGCAAATATTGTTAGAACAGGCGATTTCATTACTTCTCAGAAAGAGACTTTACAAGATGCACCTGATGAGTCACCTAAAGATTCTGCCAGCTCATTTTCACTTTTTTATCCTCTAATTCATTTTCTGTCTGCAGCATTTTTCAATAGCTCCAGTACTCCGACGAGTCTTGCCAGCTGGGGGGCTTGTTTCTGAGAGCAAGTCTCTGTTTTTGCTGGGGATTTCATTCACGCTCTCTCCGGCCATCTTCGAGAAGCAGCCAGATTTTGATCTCATTTACACTAGCGTGAATCCAAAGCATCTTCACTGGAGCACGTGGAACCACTCCAGATTCGTGCTCAGTTTATGTTAGATCTAGGTCCATGACCAGTAAATATAGTCAGCCTGTACTGGGTGGGTCTCCTGTAATAGATGATCTTCCTTTACGTCAGCTTTGCTGTATATTACTTGCTCAAAGCTACACTGGGGTTTGGCCACCATTCAAATTTGGGTGCAAGAACCAAACCTGCTCGTACATGAGTTTACACCAAAGAAGCTCGGAGAACAAGGGGGCAGGAGCGTTGGAGCACTGTTAACGTATTTCACTATCTGCCCAGCAATCTAAGCAGGCAGTAATGGACGAGTTTCTCCAGCCCGTGGCCATCGCGACCTTCCACCAGGACAGATCAGGCTCTGCTTCATGGAGATGTCCTTCATGGTGGTGGAGGAATCGCCTCCAGGACCATCTGCAAGCGGTCCCAGCACACTGGACTCACAGACAAGATATCCATCCGTCCTTCCCAGGATTCTGGTTTTTCTACAGTTTTTTTGAGGAAGAGATACTCACCCCTTTGCTCAGCACCTACAGCAGATAGCTTTACATGCCTGAACTCAGGAACTGAACTCAGTTGACAGAAACATTACGTGCTAATGACATTTAAGGATGGGTATCAAAGACTGCCGCGATCTAAAGAGAACCAAAGCTGCCGTAAGGAGCTAGAGACTGGAATAACTCTTGGGGAATAGATGTGATCTTTGGTTGACAGGACATTCATTAGCATTCCTTATTTAGCAGCAGAATCGCAGCTTAGAGATAGCTTTCGAAAAAAGTATTTATTTAAAGAATATATCCAGCCCAAATCTATTAGCTAACACCTGCCACCATAAAAACAGTACAAAGGGTACCAGTTATTCTTGAGAGATTAACTTCCCTCCTATTAAATACAGTAAGATTCTATGGTCCTGGGCTCAAAGATGGGACTTTTTGGTTTTTTTCCCCTCTGCGCCAAGTTTCACCTAGATTAGAAAACCATGTTTACAAATCGTTCGCCCTTGCTTACAGCAGGCTCCAACGCTGCCAAAACAAGCGGCCAGTTCCACCCTACCCAAGTGCAGTTGGCTGTAGGTGTCTACGGTCAGAAGAGCACGGACAGATTCACACCACCTACTCCCTTGCGTTGCCAGCAACCACCTCCCTACAGTCAATGGAGACACAAAGGCAGGTTTGATGTCGGGAATCTGCAGCGGCTGCTCTAACGCTTCCCTCCCTCGACCGTACGCACTAACAAGATCCGAGTCTCTCGCACAATGCAGTAGTAGACACTGAAATGATCTTAAATCCATGGGTGCATGCTCTGGATAGGCCACGTCAGGAATAACTCTACGGAGAAAAGCCCTTACTGATTAACCGCACGTTGAACATGCATAACGACAAGGCACAGTTATTTTCAAAGAGCTGATGAGGAGTCACGTGGTAGATGAGCCCTACGCATAAGAGAAAACACAGAAGTTTAAGTAAGTTCTGCAAACCCTAAGTGGTTTAACTGTGCACCATCATCACTCACAACAGTTTGCAAAATTCCCCTAGTAAAGACAAGGTCAAAGAGGAAATTCTCAGGACGACGACTATTTTTAGTTAATTTATTTCATCTGTCCAGTCAAGTGGAGACAGAGCTCCATCTCAAAATCTGCTCATCCCCTTCCTGCTCCATCAGAGAGGTTCTCACCCTTTCACGAGACCCTTCCTGCACCCGCAAAATCTTGATTTTAATAAGGTAACAGACTGGAGTTTGCACCCCATCAGAAATTGCCAGTAGTTTCACACTCCGGGAGTTGCAAGGCTTATTAAAGCAAAGCTTGGATTATCCATCCCACACTGAATTCCAAATATTGGGTGTCAGGAGCAGAACGCGTGATGCAGCAAAGCTCATTCTGAAGAAGAGGAGCAAGCTGCTTTCATAGAGGGACAGCATCCAAAACCAGATGTGCTTTCCAATAATCCCAATTGTTTAAATGCTACAAAACCAGAGGAAAAAGAAAAAAAAAAAAAAGAAGAAAAAAAAGAAAACCTTGCGCAAAAGGCATAACTTCACTGAAGAACGCTTCAGACCAGCACAGGGATCTGGCATTGCATTAGTGTCAAGTGATAAGCGATGAATCTGAACAAGTTTTAACTTCATTCTAGATCCCTTAACCGGTAGTCAAATGGCCAGAGTAAGACACCGGAGGTGGGACTCATCCCTTCTAACAGACATCTATAGCATAATAAATACTGCAGCAAATTCTCTGGATTTCCTTTATGTCCGCGGACAGAAAACAAGCAGTTTGACTCCTCATAACTAGACGACCAGTACAGGTTGGACAACCTGCGCTCCAGCATTCCTTGCTTCTCTTCGCTGACTGTAAGATGGGACCTACACGATTAGTTTTGGCTCAAACTGGGTTTGGCTTGAGATGTAAAAACATCCCAAAGCATCAAGCACCTGCAGCTCGTACCGACTTCACGGCTTGCATAGCTTTCTTTGGATTCCGCTGAGGATTTGATGAAAGTTGAAGACTTTATGTCAGAACATTTAGGA